GTAAAAATCAAGTTCTGTTTTAACTTTGATATTACTCTAAAGGTGGTACTGCTAAACAACTGACTTCAGTAACAATGTCTTTACCTGGTTACTATATAAATTTGTGTAACAGTACACGCTAAATTACTAATCAGAGCCATGGTACTGACTGAAACGAGTCAGCAATAGACTACACAGGTACTTATGCACAGGAGGTGAAGGGAAATAACCTTGTTTGAAGAAAGGCTGTGGCCACAGACAGGAGGGAGCAGCACCCTCCAAACCCAGCTCGGCATGTGATTTTAGATAAGATTAGCTTCACCCATCCTTAAAAACAAACAGAAAATCCCACAAGCAACCTAGATCTTTTACAAGAATGTATAGCAGCTTGGAGGGAAACCAGAGTTCACGTGGAGGTTTTATGCAGACAGGCTGGACTGGAGCTGCTGGTCCTGGAACAAGGATGTCCGTGAAGGTGCAGATCCGGCAGAGCACAGCCACACCAGCCCTGACAAAGGGTGCATGCCTCAGCCCAGCAGCACAGGCACCAGCCTTGGGCCACGGGCACAGCAGACCTCTTCAGCTGTGGTTTCATGGTGTGACTGGTCCAACATCACAATGTGCTGCTGGTGGAAGGTGCAGTCCCACTTCTATCTCTGCCCACCACACATCAGGCTGGAAGGGATGCAACAACAGATCAGCCAGCTGCTTGGGAGCTCTCTACTGTCAGCTCTCAAGGGCTTTGGACTCTTGCTTATACTCATATGGATGGGAGTCAGAGATGTGTCTTTTCCTAGACAAGGTGAAAAGCAACCTCTAACCAGTGTTATGCTGGGGTGGCATCACTCTCTGGGCTATTCATTTTGCCTGAGTTACAGCACCAGGGAAAAGAGAGATTCCTGGCACTGCAAGACCTCCTTCATGCCAGCTCACATGAAACACATCGCCCTCCTCTGTCCCGACTGAATCTGTTTAGAGAGCAGAGTGAAATTGTAAAACAGATATTTTTTGTGCTTAATCAATTACCATTTTTTACTCTATTTTTTTCCTCAGAAAAAGCAGGTAGGGTTCACTGTGAAATGATGCACAGACCCATGTCTTTGATAAGGTGAAAACCATTAGGGGATGATGGCACAAGAATTAAATAAAATCAGTTGCCTTTTGATTTTGGCATTTTATTCTTTTCTCATATCTGTGGGAAAACTGTTGATGCACGACTTTAAACACCAATTCAGCAGA